GATGTTATTGTGGCTCCAAGGTCAGAAGAAAGTCAACCCGCTGATATAAGGAGAGACGTTGGGGCTACAACGTTGGGTCGGGCACCGATGGAGGAGCTGCCAGTGTCTGGTTACGCTAAACCAGGGCAGCTGGAGGGTGAACAGCCCCCTTACAGCCCGGAGCCGACGTTCTCCGAGTGACTTATCTTCCTCTTACCATGGTTCTCATTATTTCTTGCACAGAGCGGGAAATTTTTAGCTTTTTAGTAAAGCTTGTCCCGTTCCCAAGTGGTGCGGTGCCGCAGGCAGGAGCGTGTCTGCGAGATCAAAGCGGAGAAGCCCGAAACGATCTTTGAAGGGACAAGAATCCTGGAAAGGATTCTGCAAACCCTTTCCAGCGCGGTTAAACCCAGCAAGCAACCGAAACAAATCGATTTGCTCTAGTAGTACGGACACATTTCCTAGGAGAGTTACTGTTTTGGAAGTGTAGGAGCGGAGTAGAAAACAGTCACATCACAGTTATTAATATTTACTCCTGAATTTTACTCAGTCCCATGTACTTTTACTTCTTTAAGGCATTAAAAACTCAAAGTAGTCACCCTGCAAAAATACAAAGTCCTGGCTCAAAATTCAGTGCCCATTAATAAATAATAAAGATTAAGGGAAATAATACTGTTCATTAGCACTTAAACATTAATAAAAATCATCAAGGAGTTGACTGCGTCGTAGAGCTGAGCATCTACCACAACACTGGCTCCAAAATCCTCACTGCAGCAGCAAAAGTCAATCTATTAATCAAAATCAGTAATTTAACCTCAGATTAAGTATGAAACAGCACCCTGTTTTCCTTAACGCTGCTCCACAAGTACATAAGCTCGTGAGAATGAGCAATAAAAGGGATTCTTTCTAATGATTATTTTACTGAAGAGCACTAAATTTTAGCCGTTGTTGGAAGCGCTGCACTTCAAGTCCCAAATTTGGGGTTTCTTTGCGAGCCATTGACGAAAACTTGGTGTAAACCCCTACTTTATGGTTACAGCAGGTGAGAGGAGGATGGCCGAGCCAGCTCTGGACACCTGCTTGAGTCAGGACGTTGGAAAAGGCAAGGAGGAGACCCGCGAGGACCAAGGGAGCGGCACCGGCCCTTCCCGAGCGGCGGGCCGTGCCCGCGGGCCCTCGCCCGGCGCCCTGCGCTCACCTGTCTCCGCCAGAGCCGTAGTGGCCGCCCTGCATCGTGTCCGTATCCATGTGCGACACCATGTCCAAGCGCTGGTTCATTTTCGCGATGACGGCGTCGGCGCTGCCGCCGCCCGAACCGTCGGGGTTCATGTCAACGTCCGAATTGGCCATTTCCCAGGAATTCGAAGTGGCCATCCCGTAGCCGTAATTGCCCGAGTTATCCTGGCCGTATCCATAGCCATAACTGTATCCCTCGTAACCTGGAAGAACAAAAGAAGAGCTGGGTTTATTTCCAGTTATCCAGCTTCAGCTACGATTTTAATTTGAATTAAGACGCCCCAGGCAATCACCACGGGCAGTTAAAATAACAAAGCCCTCAGGCTTCTGTTTAAGTCACCTATAAACTTGGAACGGTTGAGCTCACAAAGGTTTAAGGGAACAACTGGTCTTTTAAGTCCCACAAAACCAAGCCGCAGCCTACAGCTTCCTCCACCTAACCTGCTCAGGAGAGGAATAAACACGGCCAAGGCAGAGCCTCCACAAAAACCCATTTTGGGGTTAACACAGAGATACCAAAGAACCATTTTAAGCTGTTTTTTCGTTGGATACGAAGCTGTTGGTAGCCAGACAAACACGGCTAGGCCATACCTTCACCAAGAGCTGCATGAGCTGCTTTAGAACCCCTTAAATCCAAAGGGATGACACCATAGCCCGTACCTGTCCTCCTCAAAGGCAGCAGAACCAGGCACAGGAAGCAAAACCACTTTCAGCCTAGTGTTTCCCGCACATTTTATATCAGAAAGCAACAGAGAGGCTCCTCCTCTTGCTCTAAAGAAGCCAAAACTGTCATAAAGAGGAAAAAACCCACCATAGGAAAAACACACAAAACCAATTAAAAGCCTGCTGAGGGTTAAAATGTTGGTTTTTCTTTCCCCAGCCCTTTTATTTGGTTGCTGGCACACGCAGAGAGGGAGTTTGTATTTCTGCTGCCTCCCTGAGCCTCAATTTACATCATCACCTGCACCAGCTTCATGTGAGTTTTCTGAGCCACAGAAAGGGGGTTATTTGGGGGGGGGGGGGGGGGGTGGGAATAAGCCAAAAACCCAGATATTCTGCCTAGAACAGCTTTCCCGTGAAACTAGTTTCAGCAACAAAATTTTCTGTTGGCTGCAATGTGAGTTTTTAAAAGAAAAGGGAGGGGGGCGGTTGTTCGTCACCGACCTCAGCCTGTCTCCCTCAGGCTCAGGAAACAGATCTGAAGTGGAAGTTAATAAACCAATCTGCCAGAAAATTACTCTAGTTTTTACTGTACTTGCCTCTGTTTGTCCCAGAGTTCCAGTCTCCATAACCTAGAAAAGCACAAAAAGCAATTAGAGACGATTTTATCGTAAGCGTAGTGTTCACGGTCAGAGAGATTCTCGTTACCCAGCGTCGAAACGGAGTGACGCCCCCGATAATCCACAAGTTTTGCACCAAATATTGAAGAAATCAGAACTGAATGTTGCCCCAGCAATGAGATGGCCCTGCAAGAGCAACAGCCTGTGCTTGCCATATGCAAAAAAAAAAAAAAAAAAAAAAAAGGTGTTTTAATTTTGAGCTGAGCTCCCTGTAACAATTTCTGTGACTACTTTGGGAGTAGAGGCGAAGCGCTCGGGGAAGCGAGAGGAGTCTCACACGGAATAAACCCCGCTCCGATTAACACCTACAAAGAAAGGACTGGGACACGACGGGGGGAAGTTTTAATCCCATCGTCCACCAACCTGCACCCTCCCAGGACTGACATTCAGACGCCCTTTGAGGCAAAACGTATCTCGACGGCATCGCTGCACTTTGCCCTTGGGGGAAACCAGCCGGAAGATGGAGATACCGGGGTGGAAAGACGCCGTCCGGAGGAGCCCCGGCCGGGACGTCCACATCCCGTCGAGAAATCGTTACCCCAGCTTTAATTATCAAACCAGTTACAGCCTCGTTAACCAGCGTACGTATGCACACGGCTTCCCTTCATATCGATCTCCACGCACGCCATGGGAAAGCAATGTTACCTTGCAGGTCCTTGCTGTGATTTCCCCCTTAATTAAAAATTCCTCTTACACAGGAGAAAGCCAGTTTATTAATTTTCTTTTTCTTTCCCACCTCAGTGTCACCATTACAGCCCGAGCCACTTCCAGCCAAAACAGTGGACACTGAATATAGTGGCAAATCGCTTCCTCCACCCACCGTACTCCACAGGTGAGCCGAGATGCCGCTCCAGGAGCCAGCAAAGGAATAAAAACGTTAAGATTAAAGGGGAAAAAGGCAAAATTGCCACTGAATTGGGCGAGGAGGCGAGTTACAGCCGCAACCTAAGCGAGGATGAGGAATTCCTCTTTATCTGCCACCGCCGGGCAGAAAGCACAGGGAACCTAACGAAGCTTGATTAAAAAAATAAATCAATTCTCTGGCAGAAAGAGCTTGTGGCTCGCTCCCTCCACCCCCGCCAGCAGGGCTGCAGGCTCCCGCCCGCGGCCTGAGGGTCCCCGGGGCAACACCGGGCCGGGCTCCCGGGGGTGGGAACGGGCGAGGCCGCGGCCCCGAGGCAGAACCAGCGCTCGGCCCGGAGGCTCGGCGGGGACGGGACGGGGCGAGGCCAGGCGGCGCCCGTCACCCCTCAGGGGCCGGCGCGGGCGCAGCACCGCCGGGCTCGGGGCTCCGGGGTCCGTCGCCCGCCGCCTCACGACAACCCCCCGAGGGCCGGCGGCGGGCGGCTGAACACCCCCCCCCCCCCCCCCCCCCCCCGGCGCCGCGTCCCGGCTCCCCCGCGGGGCCGCCCCCGCCGCCATCTTGCGCCGCCCGCCCCTCACCTGAGTAGCTCATGATGGCGGCGCCGCCGCCCGCTCGCCGCCTCCTCCTGCGCGAGACGGTAACGGCGGCGCGCCGGCCCCGCCCCCCCGCCCCATTGGCCGCGCCGCTCCGCCTCCCCCGCTCTCATTGGCCAGCGGCCCCCGCCTCCCCCGCCCCGCCGGCGTCGGTCCAACCTCCCCGCGTGATCCACGGCTCCCATTGGCGGCCGGCGGGTGTCGCTCACCGCCCGCCCTCCCTTCCCATTGGGCGGCCCCAGGCGGCGGTTGGAGGGCGCGGGCGTCAATCACGGTGCGGCGGGCGCCTCGCTCAATGGAACCCGCGGAGCAGGGCGCTGATTGGGCGGCGCGGCTGTCACCTCTCCAGGAGGCGTCAACCGCTCCCGCTCTGCCCCCTCATTGGTGAGGGGATGGGCGGGGCTGACCCTGTTTGCGCCAATAGCGCTGCAGCACCGCCTCGGGTCGCTGGCCCCGCCCCTCCCCGCCGCAGCGCCCGCTTCTTATTGGCTGCCGCGCGACCATCCCGCGTGGAGGCCGCGTGCTGGCAGCGCGCGAAGGGGCACGAGTGATCGTGTGCGCGCGGGCGGGGGGGGGGCGGGACGCCCACACCCTCCACCCCCGACTCGTGTCCCGCGTGGGCGGGGCCTCAGCCGCACCCGGGCGGCACCTGATCCCTGGGGGGTCACCTGATCCCGGGGGGTCACCTGATCCCGGGGGGTCACGGCCGTGTCATAGCCCTGACGTACCTGATCCCAGGGTCAAGGTCAGATCCCGACCCTGGGGTCACCTGACCCCCCAGTCAAGGCCAAATCCTGACCCCCAGTGTCACCTGATCCCCCCATGTCATCTGATCACCAAGGTCAAGGCCACACCCTGACCCCCAGATCCTGACCCTGGTGTCCCCTTTTCCCTGGGGAGCCCTAAAACCACCCCAATTCCCCCCAAAACCAACCCCCGCCCATCCCAGCATTCCGGGTCAGCCAGAGACTCCGCTCTCCCCCCGGCTTCATTTCCAGAAGAATTTAATCCATCGTCCCATATTCCCGGGTACAAGAATCACCAGAATATGCCCCAAAAAAGTGGAAATAAAAAAAAAAAAAAATTCCAAAAAAAAAAAAATTTATCCATTAAAATTCCTTCCGAAAGTCGGAAGTTTTGGGATTTCCAAATAAAAATGAATATTCCTTATTTCTACACAAATCTAGGAGTTTAAAAAAGGTCTATGGAGCTAGACGAGGAAAAAACAGGGAAAAAAATAACAAAATAATAAAGGAACAGTGAAAGTGGGGCGGGGGGGGGGCTGAGCCGAATCCTCCCAGCGCCGCCGCGGCCGATTCCCGACGGGAACGCCGGGATCTCCCTGCGGAATTTCCAGCTCCCACTGGAGTTTATTTTCTCCGGTGGGTCTCACCCGCTGCTCCTCTCTGGTGATGGGATGCGGCGGCGGGGGGAGGGAAGCGGAGTGAATCTGGGGGGATTTTTGTGGTTTTTTGGGGATTTTTTCTTTTTTGGAAAAAGCAGGAGGGAAGCGGCGGCGGTTTTTGTTGGTGGTTTGTTTTTTTTTTTTGGTGTGGGAAAAGGGGATTTTGGGCAACATGCAACCCCGGAACCGAGGGATTCCGACATCTACGCAAGACTAAATTTTATCGTTGCCTATAGAAGGAGGGGAAAAAAAAAAAAAATTAAAAAAAAAAAAAAATCGAATATACATTAACTCTAAGGGTCATATACAAAATCCACAGCGTTTTCCAGGAAGGCGGCTGCTCCCCGAAATTCCCCTCCGGCCCGGCTCTGCCCCGAATCGCCGCCGGCAAAGGCGACACCGTTTGTTCTTTGGGTTAAAAACAAAACGAAACAAAAAATCAAAAAAAAAAAAAAAAAAAGTGGGATTTTTGGGAAGCGAGGAGGAGGGAAAAATTCTGCCCCCTCCCCGTCCCGATCCGGTGCCGGACCCCAGCTGCCGCGTGTCTCCCGTGGGATCGCCGAGGGCTGTCTTGATCCATGTAGTGCTTGACTGGGGTTGTCCCCCCCCCTCGGTTTGTCCCCTGGAAGTTGGGGGGAAGCTCCAGAGGCAGCGATTGACCCCCCCCCCTCCTCTTTTCCCCCCTCCAAAAAATTAAGGAATTGTGGACAGGGGAAGGGGGGGGTGAGGATATTCCGGCGCCATCCGCGGTCGCTTCCCTGTGCCGGCTGCGTCACGGTGAGCCGGGATTTTGGGCGCCCGTTACTGAGCCTCAGCGAGGGTGGGAGGTTCGGGGGGGGGGGGAGGAGCTTCGCCCCGTAAAGGATCCGCTTTGGAGAAATTCATTTCCAGGATGTGTCGTTGGAGGTGCCGTACCCATTCCTCCTGGATGGAGAGGGGACCTTGGAATTCCACCTCGCAGAACCTACGGACACGGCAGCAGGTCGGGAATTTTAAGGGCGGGATGACGATAACCCCCCTAAAACGGAGCCACACCCCAAAAGGAGGGAAAGGGGATCCCACCCGGCCCTTTTCCCGCGGGCCCCACCTGCATTTGAGGGTGTAGATGTTCCCCACGAACTTCACCAAGGAAGTCTGCGGCGGGCGAGGGACCAGGGAAGGCACCGGCCTCATCCGCGGCGGCGGCTGCCGCGTCTCCTCCATTTTCTGCTGGAATTCGGCCCCTTCCTCTTCCCGGTGGAGGGGGGCGTCCAGGGGCCTCGCTTGCCTCCGCTCAAACTCTGGGGTAAGAGAAAATTTAGGTGGGGAGGGGGGGTGGGGGGGTTAGACTGGGGTAAGGGGCACCCGAGGTGGCACGGCACCGGGGCACGGCGCGGCCTCTCCGCTTCCAGCTCCCTGACGCCGGGAGCAGCCCCCGCTCATCGCGGGGAATTGGGTCTGTGGGGGGAAGAGGAGGAAAGGTGGGGGGGGGTCTCAGGTGAAAAAAACGCCCCGGTGGTGCCGGGAACGGGCAGAGGGGACAGGGAGGGGATTTTTGCCGGTGTTGGAGACCCCGTCTGGCTTCTCCCCCACTCACTGTTGATGTTCGAGCGTTGATGTTCCTCCACCTTCACCAGGGAGAGGGGGGATGTGATCATGGGCCGCTCGCCGCCGCTTCCCCCGTCGAGGATTTTCCCGGCGTCGCCGTGAGCCAGATCCCCTGCCAAGCCTTTGCTGAGAAAGGTCACGCCGCCGGCCTGAAGGCTGAGCGGCATCCGGCGAGCGCCGCCGCCCTCGTGATCCCGGGCGTGGGACGAGTTGCGGAATTTCTTCGTGAAGGGTCGCCCGCCTTGGATGTAGCTGCGGTACGCGCCGGCTTTCTGGGGTCGGTGTCGGATCCATTCGCTGAGCGTCTCGATCGGCGAACCGTTCACGCACCACTCGGTGACGCCGAACTGCCGGAGGTGCGCCCGCGCGTGGCTGGCCAAGGCTTTGCGGTTCTCGAAGTAGAGGCCGCACAGCTCGCAGCAGGCTTCGCTGGCTGGGGACGGGGGGTGGTGGGAGGCAGGGAAAATAAAAAAACAACAACAAAAAAAAAACAAACCAAACCAACAACCAAATAGAAAACAAAAGAAAAAAAAATTAAGAAAAAAAAAGAAAAAAGAAAAAAAGAAAGAAAAAGGGAAAAAAGGAAAAAAAGAAATAAAGAAAAAAGAAACAACAAAAAAAAAGAAAAAAACCAAACCAAACCAAACAAACAAAAAGAAAACAAAAGAAAAAAAAATTAAGAAAAAAAAGAAAAAAGAAAAAAAGAAAGAAAAAGGGAAAAAAGGAAAAAAGGAAAAAAAGAAAAAAGAAACAACAAAAAAAAAGAAAAAAACCAAACCAAACCAAACAAAAAGAAAACAAAAGAAAAAAAAATTAAGAAAAAAAAGAAAAAAGAAAAAAAGAAAGAAAAAGGGAAAAAAGGAAAAAAGGAAAAAAAGAAAAAAAGAAAAAAGAAAAAAGAAACAACAAAAAAAAAGAAAAAAACAAACCAAACCAACCAACCAAACAAAAAGAAAACAAAAGAAAAAAAAATTAAGAAAAAAAAGAAACAACAAAAAAAAACAAAGAAAAAAACCAAACCAAACCAACCAAACAAAAAAATAATAATAACAAAACCAAACCAAACAAAAAATAAAAACAAAGAAACAAACCGAAGAATAAAAAACCAACGCACAGGTGGGGCGTGAGCAGGCGACGGCACAGCGCCGATCCCGCCGCCGGCGGAGGCAGCTCCTCCGTGGGACGGGCAATTCCTCGTGTTTTCCAGCCCCGCCGGGGTCTGGCGGCCAGGCGTGGGGGGGGGTTGGCTGCCTTTTGGAGCAGGGGCAACGACGACAACCCCACATCTCCGCTCTGCGCCCCCCAGAAGCCCGAATCCCTTCCCGGCACAAAGCGGGGGGGGCTGCGTGGCCACCCCACGGCGCGACAAATCCCCGGGGTGCTCCCCCTCCCGCCTCCCCGCCTCCCCCCACTTACAGGTGTGCGCGGGTTTCTCGTGCACGGACTTGGCTTTGAAGGGCAGCTCGGTCTGGATGTAAGCCTTGTGCTTGACCTCGGCGTGAGGACCCAGCCGATCGTCCTGCAACGGTCGTTTGGCGGACAGCGGCGTCAGGAAACCGCCCTGGGGTTTGCTGGCGAGAGGCGACAACGAGATCTCCCGGTTCAAGGTGGAACCGCCGGGGTTGGGTTTCCCCGTCCGCCCGCCCAGGGGAGGCAGGGCCATGCCCTGAAGAATTTTTCCCGGGGACTTGGGGTCCGTCCCTTCCTCCCCGATGGATTTAGGGGGTTCGATGCTGGAGGGGTGGGGCTCCTTCTTGATAATGCAGGGTTTGGATTTCTTCTTGAGGATCTCCCGGAGCGTGTCGATGGGCGAGCCGTTGACCGACCACTCGGTCACCCCCATTTGGCGGAGGTGGGAGCGAGCGTGGCTCGACAAACCTTTGCGGTTCTCGAAGTATTCGCCGCAAAACTCGCAGCGGATGTCTCGCACCGGGTCGGCTCGGGAGGCTGCGGGGAGAGACGCGGGGGCGTGGGAGAAGGATCGTGTTTAACCCCCACCCCTGCCCCCTTCCGCTCCTCCCTGTCCGCAGCGAGGGGCCCCCCGACACCACGGCCCACGCAAGAGGATGTGGATCCCCTGAGCGGATTCCTCTCGCCTGGCCCCACATCACCGCGAGCCCTCAGCCCCTTCCGAAACGAGACGGCCGCCCGCGGCCCTGTCCCGAGGGAGCGCGGCCCCGCTCGGCCCCGCCGACGGAGCGGGGAAGGCGACAGCCATGGACTTACAGAGGTTCAAGGGAGACATCTCCTCCCGCGGCGACCAGGCTCGGTCGGATGGGTGAGGCTCTCCGTGAAGTCCTCCCGACATCATCTCCCGCTTGATTTCCACCCTCAGTTGATCTTGTTTGAGTTTCTTCTGCAAGGAGGGAGGAGAAAGGCCTGGAAACATCTTCCGGGCGGTGGGAGGTGGGGACGAGGTAGGCGATTGCCCCATGGGGCTGCCGGGTTGCTGGACCTTCTTGGTGAGGGTGGGGATGTGAATCTCTCCGGGTCCGCGCGGCTCCAAGGATCCCATGCTGCCCAAGAGGGTCTTGGCCATGGCTTTTTGCCCGGGCCCGGCGGGATTCGAGGCGCTGCTCCGCGGCTGGGTTCTCCGCTTGAGGATCTCCCGGAGCGTGTCGATGGGCGAGCCGTTGACGTACCACTCGGTCACCCCCATTTGGCGGAGGTGGGAGCGAGCGTGGCTCGACAAACCTTTGCGGTTCTCGAAGTATTCGCCGCAAAACTCGCAGCGGATGTCTCGCACCGGCTCCGACCCCGAGGCTGCGGGGAGAAAAAGAGAGAGAGAGAGAAGAAAGACTGGCGTTGCTCGGCAGGACGGACGGACGCAGCCTAAAATGGGAAGCAGGCTCGAAGGCATCAGGGTACCCCAGGGAAACGCAACGGCCGGGGGCTGCGGGGAGCTGGGGGGGCAAAGCCGTGGTCCGGAGCGCTGCGATAACGCGGACACGCGTGTCCCTTCCCCACTCGTTTCCCTGGGAAGCAGCGAATCTCGCTCGTGCCACAGCGAGGAGGAGGAGGAGGAGGAGGAGGAGGAGGAAGGGCTCTGGATGGAGAGACTCTCCCGCACACCGCAGTGCCGCTGGCATCGGGACAAACACCATGTGCCTAAAGCAGGAGCGTCCCTGTCAATCCCAGCGCCGGACGCTCGGCCCTCGAGCCGGGGCACCTCCTGCCTCCGGGAAGTGCCGATTCCCGCCCGGCGTGGTGATAAAGAGGAGGAGGAAGACAAAGCAGGAAGAGGTTTTTATCACCAAAACCAAGCCGCAACCTGAGCCACGTGCAGCAGAAACGCTGCTCCAGCGGTCCTTTCTCCTTTCCCGGGGAAGGGAGGAACCATCGGAGCTGCACCGGGATGAGGAAATCGAGGCAGATCCCTGCCTGGAACTGGGGCAAAACCACCTCAGCGCCTCGAGCCCGCACGGCGAGGGAGGCTCGGGCAGGATTATTTGGGTGGAGGGGAGATCCATCCCCGCCGCGGGAAAAAGCTCACCGGGAGAGGCCAGCCTGGCAATTTCTAAGCATGCCGGCACTTTGCTCGCGCCAAGCTGAGCAACCAGACCGAGTTCATCTACCCCGGCTTCGTTAGCAGGCAGCCCTAACGAAGAGGAATTCCGGCGTTGGCTACGAGAGAGGCGCAAAGCGTTTTTCTGTTGCTGCTCCAAGTCTTTAAAAGGCTGCAAGGATGAGCCCAGCCCAAACTCCGCGTCTTCTGTCACCGGCAGAGACGCGGCACCCGGAGAGCGTCTCCGCTCCGGCACATCCCCAGGCGCATCCCTCAGCTGCAGAGGCTCTGCCATCCCGGAGCTTTTCAGCTTGGGAAAAGCAAGACCGTAGCCGGGACGGAGTGATTTTGTAGCTGTGTGACTCTAAGAAGCCTGGCAGGGTTAGGAAATTTTTTTTTTGGAGGACTATCAAGCTTTAAAGCTGCTCCTACAAGGAGGGAAGGAGCGGATACAGCAGGACATCATCCTCTGCTTTATCGCAGGGAACGACCCCGCAACGCGCCGCCATTCCCGCCGGGGAAGATGAAAAGCCTGTTGGTGCTGCCAGCAGTGGGACGCTGGGTAACGAGGATTAAGAATCAACGAGCCAGAGAAGCCCAACAGCCCTTTGAGCTGTTGATGAAGATGTTTCCCAGCAAGACGCGGCGTTCTGGGAGAAGGCGGCAAGAGGCAGCTGCTGCCAGGAAAAGTATTTTGGTCCTGAGGTGTCGGAATAAGTCACCGACGGGGCGTGGGGACAAAGAGGGACATGGCAGCAGCAGGGCTGAGGTCCCAAGAGCCGCGGCGGCGCCTCGCCGAGCGCACCCACCCCGGGAAATGGCAGCGGGGAAGGGGCTGGCGCTGGCCAAACCCCCCGCGCTCCGGTGGGAGCCGGCCGCGGCGCAGGAGGGTGCGCTCCACACCAGCCCAACCGGCGCCCGGAGGAGGCAAGGGAAGCTGGGGAGAGAGATGTGAAGGGCTCAGAGGGCAGAAAGTCAACGCTTTTCCTGAAATCCCAACGGGAATCTCTGTTTGCCCCGTGAGGGAAGAGACCATCTCTCTGATAATTGCAACCAAACGGCACGTGCTTCCCCGGCGCGGCCGTTACTGAATGCCGGCGCCTCCACCGAGCCCAGCTGCCGAGCTGGGGGAAACTGGGAATTAAACTGAACAGGAAACAACCAAAAAGAAAAGAAACTCACTTAAATTAAGGGGTCCTTCCTCATCCGCCTGCGGCCACTGCGCTTTCGGGGAGCTCTGCAGAGGGCTCAGCGAGAGCTTAGAGCTCTTCTCCTCAGGGTTTTTCGGAGATGGGGACCCCGAAAGAGAGGGCGGCACCTTCTTAAGGATTGGGGATCCTGGTTGCGAGAGGTTTTTCGAGAAGCCGGGAGGGGATTTGATGGCTTTATTAACGGGACCGTCCGGCGGGCGATCGCCGGCCTTGCCGAGCGCCAGGAGCGTGGGGCGAGGGGAACCGGCGGTGGCGTCTTTGGGGGAGCCGGTTTTTTTGCCGAGGGTGGGAGACATGGGGCTGCCGTCGGGTTTGCCTTTTTGCTTCATCAGTTCGTAAAGCAAATCGATGGGAGCCCCGCTGCTCTCCGATTCGGCGACGCCGAGCTGCCGTAGGTGAGAACGGGCGTGGCTGGATAAGCCCTTGCGGGTTTCGAAGCAGGCGCCGCATACTTCACACGTCGTAAGGTTCTGGGCTAAAAAGAGAAAGGGGGGGAAAAAAAAAAAAAAAAAAAAAAAAAAAAAAAAAGAGAGAAAATCAGAGCACAAGGAGCGGCGTCCAGCCACGCTTTTCCCCACCCTAAAGGATCTTAGGGATTTTTACCACCCCCAAGCTTAATTTTGAGCACTGAGATGCTCCGCACACCCCTGCGCAGGCAGGAATACAGCAGGGAGGAGTGAGCAGAGCTGTGGGAGAACAGGGATCGCTGCTCTGAAGGAATCAGGTTTTCCCCACTGGAGAACGTTTTCCAGAGGGGCTTTGGAAGCCTTGGCTGCAATCAGTGAGCCGTAGGCAGGCTCCAAAGCCTGGCCAGCGAGGGAGAGGGATCTCAGAGTGATGGTTTTCAGGGAATATCGTTAATTAGGAGAGGAAGGACTGACTGAGGTGATTTAAGGACAGGGAGCGCGCGTCGGTCCTGGGGAGCTTTGAAAAGGTACTGGTGCCAGGGAAAGAAAAGCGACATAGACCAGCGACAGTGGAGTATAACACGGCCATCTCCTTCATTAGAGAATTAATTAAGCAAAAGGACCTGAAAATCCTCCCGGATTGGGTTAAACAAACACCTGGAAGCTCCCTGCTCTCTCCTCGCAGCAAAAAGCCAGCGCTCGGCTGTCGGAGAGGACAAGGAGCCGGGGGAAATACTCACTTTTGGAGTCCTGAGGCTCTGGTTTGCTCCCGGGCGGCTCAGGAGACAGTTTGGTCCCTATCCTGGTGGGGGGTTGATCCAGCTGCCCAGCGGGAGCGCTTTTTTTCGGGAGAGGGGGTGAACCCACCTCCATGGCCACCAGTTCTTCATCTTCGGGAGCCAGGACTGCCAAAAAAATTTGATCGTCAGCCCCCACGGGAGGATAACGCGGCCGAGAGAGGTTGGGGCTCGTTACGCGAAGGTTTAACCTGCTCCAAAAAAGCTCAAGAGGGAAAAGCAGAGGGAACGGGGCTGGCGGGTGCTTTTAGAGGGGGACACCCGCCCTGGTGGCAGGGGACACCCCGCTGGGGCAGCGGTGACCTGCCAGCGGGATTTGGGGGTGCTCAGGGATGGCGGGAGGGAGGGGGGTTGGTGGCATTTCACTGCAGGAGGGGAAACAGTGGCAGCTCCCTGGGGTGGCGACAGGGACATAAAGGTGGCATCTCTCTGCTGTGGGGTGGCAGCTCCCTGAGGGATGGGGGGGGGACAAACTGTGGGGAAGGGGGATACTGATGGTGACAGTTTCCTGCGGGAAGGGGGACAGGGAAGGTGGCAGCTCCCTACAGGGAGAGGATGGGGAAGGTGGCAGCTCCCTACAGGGAAGGGGGGACATGAAGGTGACAGTTTCCTGCAGGGAGGGGGACAGGGATGGTGGCAGCTCCCTGAGGGGATGGGGGGACACGAAGATGACAGTTTCCTCCAGGGAGGTGACAGGGAAGGTGGGAGCTCCCTCCAGGGAGGGGGTGACACAAAGGTGACAGTTTCCTGCAGGGAGGGGACAGGGAAGGTGGCAGCTCCCTGCAGGGAGGGGTGACACAAAGGTGACAGTTTCCTGCAGGGAGGGGGATGGGGACGGTGGCAGTTCCCTGCGGGGAGGGGAGGGCCGTTGTCAGCGCCGCCCGGGCCGGGGGGCGGGTTGGGGGCTGCCTCGGCCTCCCGGGGCCCCGCTTCCCACCCCGGGGCGGTACCAGGGCGCGGCCGAGATTTGCATCCCCCCCCCCTTCCCCACCTCCCCCACCCTCCTCCGCCATCGCACCCGGGATCGTGTCCCCCCCCCAACCCCCACCCCCCACCGGGGGGGCGGGGAGGAGGGGAAAGCCTTCCCCCCACCCCCTTCCACCCATCCCCAGCATTGACAGGAGCCGGGCGCGGCCCGTTGCGAGCGGACCGGGGGGCCCGGCCGAGGGGCTGGCGGGGGCCCCCGGGAGGGACAAAGCGAGGCCGGGGTACGGACAAAGGAGGGCGGCGGCTCGACGACAGCGGCCCTCGCCGGGTCTTTTTCCCTCTCCCCTCCCCTTCCCCGTCACGGCCGGGCCCGGAACCGGCGGCGGCCCCGGGTCGGGCCCGTCGCTGCGGCGGGGGGAAGGAGGCGGGGGGGGGGTTGTGTGGGGGCCGCGGGTGGGCCCGGGCGCGGCGGGGCGGGGTCGGCGGAGGGAAAGGGGCGCTCACCCGGCTCGGGCGCCGCCTCGGGCTCGGGTTCGCCGTCCCCACCCCGGTCCCGGTCCCGGGGTCGCGGCGCCGCCGCCGCTTTTGTCACTTTGGGCTGCGAGGAGGTGGAGGCCGCCATCTTGGCTCCGGCACATGCGGGGCGGCCGCCAGGCCGCCAGGCCGAGCGCCGAGCCGCGCGCGCCCGCCCGCCAGGCCGATCGGCCGAGCGCCGAGTGGGAGAAAGGAGAGAAGGGGAAGAAGCGGCGGGAGGGGGGGGGGGTGGGGTGTGGAGGGGGCCGGGGCGGGAGGATGAGCGCCGAGCAATCGGCACCCCGGGAAGTGGCGACAGGGAGCGCCGAGCGATCGAGCGGCCTGGGCTCCCCGGCGCCAGGCTCGGCTCAGCCCCGGGACCGACCTGCCCAGCGCCACGGGGCTCCCCCCGGCCCCTGCGCTGAAGCCCAGTGTCGCTCCGCAGTCCCACCCTCACACCTCCAGCTCGGCCCCCCAGCAGGGCCCGGCCGCCCCCCGGTCCCCTCACCTCACCGGGCGCTCCCCATCCCAACACGGCTCAGCCCAGCCCCGGCCGGGCCCACCCGGGGCGCCCCGGCCTTCAACCCTCCCCTCGCCTCTCTGCTGCTCTTTATTTCTATTCAAACCACTCCAATAAAAAGCAGAAGAGAAACAATTCGCTACCCAGAGGAGGGATATGGGGACATCTGCCACGTCTCCTCAAAGCAGGGGGTACAAATAACGCCTGAGCGTTCAGACCCCAGGGGACGGGAGAAAGGGCAGCAAAGTCTTGCCCGACTAAACAGACTGATAAGCACTACCAGAACCAGCTGAGAATTCCGGGGTTTTGGCAAAAGCTATTGCAAAATTACAGCAGGTGTTGGGAGGGAGCGAGCCCTGCAAAGGGAGATGTTGCACGAGGCGAAAAGAAGCGACGACGAGTCCTGATGGGACGGGGAAACGCTGCCAGACTGCGGTGGGAGGAGGAGGAGGGAACGTGGTGGGAAAACAAACAAAAACAAACAAATAAAAACTTGCGGGAAACCAAAAATCCACCTGGATTAGGAAACGCGACCCACCTGGATCGCAAAGCAACTGGAATCAGGGCAGACCATTGACCTCAGCGGAGAGGATCAATCCCCGCCAGAACTGTCCCCGTCCACTCCGGGCACATCAGGGTGATAAACCCAGCGCCAACCGAAGGAGCTTTTACCCCTAAGTTACTTCTAGAGCCCCAAATAGAAATGCAGAAAGACGTGTAATCGTCACCTTGGACAGTTTCTGCTCAGCCCCATCCTCCTCCTCACCTCCCTGGGGAAGGACAAGCAGAGTCCCAACACTACCACAAGCGTTTCCTCGCGGTTTCTGGGCTTAGAGTTGAAAATGCGCATTCAAAGCCGACCGATTTGGTCTGTAATTACACCAGGAAAACCCACATGCGATGGCAAGCCCGCCTGCCGTTCCCGGAGTGCATAAACAAAACCGATCCAAGAAGAGGCAGTGTGGGAAGAAGAGACAGCCCGCGAGAGCCACAGCTAAAACAAAACCAGACCCGCACTGGGCACTTCATTTTTTCAGCGTGGGGAAGCTTTGGAGGTTCAAATTCCTACTTGCTTTTGTGTTGGAGAACAGTTTAAAAAGGGGTGGTTTGGTGGTTAATCCACCTCCCGCCAGCTGTGAGATTAAAGAAGTCACCATGGGCCACATCCTGATATTTTTAGGGAGTTTGAAAGCCCACAGCAGTAACCAGAGGTCCCCAGGGGCTCCGGTCTCCCTGCAGTGACAACACGGAGGGTCTCATCCTGGCAGCTTTCGGGTGCTGGAGGTGACACATCTGCAGGGTAGCACAGAGATTCACGAGTCCTCAAACACCCACAAAACATCCCCACGCTAATTCTCAACAAGCCACGCTCAGAAGACGGGAGGGAGAAGCCCCTCATAGCAGTCAGCGACCTCACTGCACCTGGAAAAAAAAAAAATCACCAGTTGGGTAACCTGCTGCTTTAACCCGGATTCAAGGGATGATTTGTGGAGCAGCTGGTGCCGCTTCCGAGCTGCAGAGCTCAGCTTTGCCCCATGCTCTGAAAAAATAACTCCCCAAATTTGAGTTAAATCTTCCTGAAGAAGATCCAGCGAAGGCAACAAGAGGTACTGGAAAGGCCGGGACAGGCAGGACTGCCTGAGCGCTGGCTTGCTCCCGGGCTCTGTCGGCTGAGGATGGAAGTAGCTGTCTTTGCTGGCCAGCCTACGGCATCCAGAGCTCCGTGCAAGCCGATTCCTTGCCAAGCGGGGGGTTTTGCCAGCTCTCTGTCACACTTTGGAGCTATCAAATCATTTTAAACACGGTGCTTCCCCTCGCTGGCTCTGCCGAGGAGGACAGGCTGCTAACAAACCGCGCCTAAAGTTCCTCTCTTCTCTCTCTACCAGAGTGGTAAAACATAAAACCTCTCCTTGGCTTAAAGGAACTGGAGAAAAAACATCAGGACTAGGAGCTTATAAGGAATCGCTGTGGCAGGTGCAGGAGCTCAGCAAAATTTAACGAGGAGAGGAGAAATACCAGACATAGATGCGGTTCCTTTCTCCACCAGTATCCTCCTGGGATGTGGAGGTGGCTGTGAGGCTGGTTTCGAACCTGATGCGGTTGCAGTGCCCATGGGTATCCCTGGGTCATCCCAACTCAGGGCTCCCCCCCTTTCAACATCCCTTCCTCCAGCAGGTACAAACCCAGGTCTCCCCTAAACATCAGGAAAAGGAAAGGGGCGATTTCTCTCCTTGGTTGCCAAGGCTGAAAAAGGTTACCGCGACCATCTGCCTTCCAGTGCTGCCCCAAGGGATCCTCACTCCACAATTCCTGCGCTGAAAGACCTGGCTGAGAGATTTCACACCATCCCCTGTGGCCGTAGATGAGCAGCAGTGAAAACTGAGCTCAAAATCAGGCTAAAAACTGACGTCCGGCCTCCCTGGGGCGCTGCCTACCATCAGAAATCTTCAGAGACCAGGAGAAAAGACAGTATCGAGGGCAACGGCCCGCGTTATCCCCAAGCAGGGGAAGGAGGGAAGGGAAGGAGGCGGCCAGCGTGAGCTTTTCAATAACCTGGAACTCGAGAAAGGAATCAAAGACGGTGGAAAGTAGGTCAGGCTGCGGGTGAGCACAGAATGAGCACGCAGGGAGGAAAATCAGAAAGGCCGACACAAAAGGAGAGCGTGACCCGAGAACCGTAACACGAGGAGGGTCCTCAGGACACATTAACCCAGGAAAGAGGTGGAGGTACCTCCAACCCCCTCCAAACTCAACAGGACACGGCCCCAAGCAACCTGACCTGGCTCTGAAGTTGGCCTCGCTGGCAGCCAGGGTCAGGTATGGACCTCCAGAAGGTTTTTTTAACCTCCGCTCATCTGCAATTAACACGGCCACCACAGGACGGGCGGGCGCGCTCCTCCATGGAAAGGAGGACAAAAGGCCAATTCCACTAAGCATCTTGATTCCTTCACGGAGGGCATCCACAATTAACCAGAGGAAGCAAAGGTCAGGGTGGAAATCAGAGCTGCTGCTGAGCAGCGCTGAAGTCTTTACTCTCAAGTCAAAGTGTTGAGGAAGAAATGAGGCTCAAAAAAACCCATAAAACCTACAATAAGCATCCTCTTCCAACCCTAGCTGTGCTGGTGGAAGAGCCTCCCCCTTCTGATCA